AACCAATAACTTAAATAAGTTGAGTTTAAAAGTCTTATGAAGATTAAGAGTTTTGAGCCTTCAACAATAACCCATAAATCTCTCTATAAGTTGACACCTAAACTTTTTCAAGCTTTCTCAACATGACATCTCAGCAAAAAAATCAACCAATGAAAATATTTTATTAATACATCTCATATGTATTAACTTCAAACTCATTAAAACCTCAAAAAATAAACATTTGTTGGTAATCTTTGTTTTAACCCATTAACAAATCCAATAACTTAAATAAGTTGAGTTTAAAAGCCTTATGAAGATTGAAAGTTCTGAGCCTTCAATCTATATATAATTTTCCTCAACATCCGTAAATAATTTTTAGAAATTTCAGTTTTAAAAATAGCTCTTCGTACTAAATAAAGTTTGAACCGAGAGTACAAAAGAACCAATCATTTAACTACCAGTAGATTACCACACTTTTGATAACTTAACTTAATTTTAAACCGAGCTATTCAAAACAATAAGAATAATTGTATCTAATAGTGATCATAATCAAGCATGAATCCAAACAAACAAACTATGAATTTGGAGATTCAAAATATGTTAAAATTCTTAGGATCGTATTTCAAAGAAAAACCAGAGTAGTTCACTAAAATTGCAATAGTGTTTCTTACATATCTCAACTTTTTGATTTTTACATTCTTCATTATTCTATCATTTTTTTCACAAAATTTTAAAGTTGATAAGTCACAATATATTCATTTTTGGAAAATGTTGAGATCTTTCAGACAATTACTAGGAAACTATATTTTTAAAGTTGATAAGTCACATCCATATTATTATTATTTCAGACTATATATATATTATTTTTTTTCTTTTAGTTTTGAAAAAAAAGATTTACATTTCACATCCATATTGTTTTTTTTTAAACTCTCTCTATTTCTTACGAAATATATACTTTCCATTTTAGTCAAAAAATAATATATACTTTCCATGTTATCTATTCTTGTTCTCACTCTCATAACTTTAAATTTATTGAATAAAGTTACCTTAAATAAACTATGTTTTTATAACAACAATGCAAAAAGTATAACAGAAACTCACACATCAGCAAAAATTTGAACCAATAAAAATATAACAATAATACATATCTTTAACACTAATAAAATCAGTTTACTATTTTGCTGACCCATTAAAAAGTCCAAAGTTTACAAAAAACATAGAAGTCGAAAGCAAACAAGAAGAAGCTCAGACCACCACAACTTGGAGATTCGCATTTCCGATGGTTACCGAGAACAAATTTTCTTGGGTTTGGAGGGAATAAAGAATTTCTTGGTTCGGTAGGAAAATATAATTTCTCGGTTATGGCAAACTGTGAGGTTTAATGAAGAACATAGCCAACCAAGAAAAAAGCTTCAAACATTAAAAGTCATTTTTATTTTATTTTGTCAACTCTTTAGAAATCAATTATAAATTCAGATAGAAAGCGAATTCTGAGGTTTGATGAAAAAATGTGAATTATTGGTTTTGGTGAGAAAAAAAAATGATTTTGACGCAAAAACAAAATATCTTCGTTTTGACGAGAAAATACGATGGAAATGCAAATTTCCAATTCTGAAAAAATACGATTTCTCGGTTTTGATAGGAAATGCAAATTTTCGGCTTTTGATGGACAATGTGATTTCTTGATTTTCGCGGAAAAATATAATTTCTTAGTTCTCGCGGGAAATTGTAATTTGACAATTTTGGCAGAAAAGGCAATTTCTCGGTATGATGGGAAAACAAAATTTCTCGATTTTGGAGGGAATAAACAACTTCTCGGTTTTGATGCGAAATGCAAATTTTCAGTTTTTCACATATAATGTGATTTTTTGGTTTTTGTGGGTAAATACAATTTTTTGATTTTTTGCACGAAAATAATTTTTTTTGGTTTTGGTGAAAAACTGGATTTCTCTGTTTTGGTAGGAAATTACGGATTCTCGCAGGAAAATGCGTTTTTTTTGTTTTTGCGGGAAAATACAATTTCTCTGTTTTGGTGAGAAAATGAAATTTCAGGTTTAACGAGAAAATGAATTTTTTTTTTGTTTTGGCGGGAATATGTGATTTCTCAGTTTCGTGAAAAATGAAATTTTTTGTTTTGTCGAAAAATGTGATTTCTCGGTTTTTGTAAGAAGATAAAGGTTCTCTGTGCTAAATTTTCAAGTCACAATGTTTACAGTAACCAAAATTTAATTATTTAACTTCAACTAAATTGATATTTCAACAGTTAAAACAGAGTTTTCTATTTAGTTCTAAAGCAATAACAATAGTTTTGATATGAATGTTATTGATTATAGTTTGATAGTTTTAGAAACATATGTTTATAAAAATATTTAATAAATAAATAATTTTTATAATTCAAAATAACCATATTAATTAATATTTTTTTTAAAATGGCAATTTGCTTTATATAATTTCAAAGGAAGATCAAGTGGTAATTTAATAGAGAAAATAAATTACATTTGCTATTAACATGAAGGTACTTAAAAATGTATTGTTTTATTCTTATATATACATTTATAGATAGTTAGCTAAACAAATTTGAGAGTAGATTATAATTTTGAGAAACAAAAAAATAAAGAATATATAATATTTATTCTGATTTAAAACATATAAAAATACAAACTTAAGGTAAAAAAAATAAATATAATACTCATTTATGTTATAAAAATAATTTTATTATATTTAAAATATATACAAAATTTTTAAAAAATATCCCACAGCGTAGCGCGGGTAAATACCTAGTTATAGTAAAAGTTTAATAATTTTTTTAGATTATATGAGTAAACAAATTAACAAGATTTAAAGAAAATGATATATTACCTTTAACATGATTTACAGCGAGTAACATGAGAATACAAAAAATCATGAGTAATAGCACAAAATAGCATAAGACTGGTAGTAAATTAACTAATCGATATATGCTATTTATGTGTCTGAGCATCAAACTAATTTGCCATCTTTATTCTCGTTTTTGCCCTCACGCGCATTTCACTTATTATTTTTAAAGAATAATTTTTTTTTCTTTAAATCAGAGAAACCGTATATACACTAAATATCTAACGAAGAGGTGTAAAGATCAATAATTGTTTAGTTCACAACTTTAACTACAATTATTGCAACTTATTTTTGTGTATAGCAAATAGAGCGGCATATTAATAGCATGCCTCTTGCTCTCACAGAACCCCATACCACCCCATCGCCGCTTGAATTATCCTATTTTCCTATACTCCCAAAGCGAAATCGATACAGGGGAACAAAACAGAGACTGAGGGAATTACAGGCGGAAAAGCGGAAGAAGATAACACTCCACACGCCGGCAGTTGATTATCCAGGTAAACCCCAAGCGCCCGCCATGTACGGGAGCATCACGCTTTGCTATTACTTTTTTCACATATAGTCACACATTATTACGGCGGGTGGGATTTTATTTGGGTGTTTCGGTAGTGGTTAGGGATCGATACTTTGCATGATGGTTTTTTTCTTGTTTTGTCCTTTGAATTATAATTATTGTATGCTACATTGACATCGGGTTGTAAACAACATTCGCAGGATGGAATCAAATGATCTCCCCCATCGCATCTTCGCAGATCGGCAGGAACCGGTTGGAGATAGAGTGAACTCCTATTTCAAGCTTGAAACTATCGGTGCTATCCTCAAAGCACTCACATCGGACGAGTTAGATGTGATCCGTCCGCGGTTTAAAAAATTGATAAACATGTACCAGAAAACGGCTCACTCGGGGAAATTTGCTCACTTTCTTGGGATATCGACTCTTTTGAACATGTAACTTCATAATAAATCTGGGTAGCTTTGTATCTTATGTTATAGATCTCTAACAATGTAATCAGATACCCTAATATATGGATGTCTAAGTTTGAGTGTGTGGCCTTACAAATCAGTATGCGGGTTTCTTTTTGTAGGTGGCAGTGACTTCAATAATCGAATGCGAATTCGATGGAACCCCCTAAAGCGCCTTCGCATTGGCAGATGAAGTAGATGACCCCAAGGTGTATCACATGGAGATGCTTTCAGTCTTGTTTGTTCTTGAACACATGCCCCAATATGACATTCTCTGTTTGATCTAATCCTGAGAAAACCCGTCTATCAAATACATTAGATGTCTTTAACTTTTTTTACAATTCAATGTAATGTTCTTTTAGCAGCCATTCAGATATCTATCATATTTAATAACACTCCACTAATACTAATAGACAGCTATATAGCCTTATATACTAACATATATTATAGTTATCAGAGCAACATAAAAATCCATGAAAGAAAATAACACAATATATTATAATTTACGGGTATGCGATCCGTTAAGTAAATATAACAATCTAGGGAATAACATAACTTTTGGAGACGAATATAGCACTCCACTAATGTTAATAGACATATACAATACACTTATATTATTACAAATCACCATCATTTTCAAATAACCCGCTACAAGTTTATATCCGTCCCGCACCAAGTTTATATCCACCCAACAACACAAATCGTCACACGTCCCCCGCATCTTTCATCCACCACTTCTGTTCTGCCTGCACTAAATCACTGAAGACTTTTAGAGTTGCACCATTGTCGTTACCTGCTTAAACCGGTTTTAGCGCTACATGGTATTAGATGTATGGACCTATTATTTATGGATACTTCACAAACCTAGGTGTACCCAAATTTTTACATTTTTCCACCCACCCACTCAAAAAATCTTGTTCTAGCATGACTAATTTACAATAACTATCCATCCCTTCGGAATATCTCATTCATACGCCAGGCGGCTTGAAGATTATCTTGTCTCTCCATTTAATGTCATCCGACGGCTATCTGATCTCGCCAATATCTCGTCCAAATTAATTCAATTGTTCTAGACATATTCAGGTTAATAGTCAGAACCACGCGCAGTCTATGACACTCCGCGTAATTAGATGAACTTGATCTTTTTTTTCGGCATCCTTTAGCCATTTCCTTCTACCGTATGAATGATTTGTTGTTTTGCTAATTATGTACTCAAATTTAGTGATCTACCTCTTTCTCCCAAAAATCATTAGCAAAATAGAAGACCTCATGATTCAAACAAATTGGTAAAATATTTTCTATGTTATTTGCAAAACTTTCTCGCTTGTCATACTTTGGTTATATACACTCATCATATACTAAAAATAGAATTTTGTACTTTTTAATTTGATATCGAGAAGTGTGGGACGAAGTCAACGTGACTAACGGGATAGATGCTTTATTTTTAGAAATGTTTCCATGATAAAATTTAACTTGTTTTTAACCAAATATTTCTCAAAACTATTTGTTTTTAACCAAATGTAAACAAAATATACTTGAATAGACAGGCCCAATAAACATGGGCCAATTTATAAATTCGAAAAGATCAGGCCTGATTATAGCGCACACGTGGTAACTACCGCCGATAAATAAGGAAGCTTACGTGGCAAAATCATGGTCAAATCGAAGTTAGGGCTAAATAGATAGATCTCGCAATTTAGGGTTTTCTTTTTCCCCTTTTTGGCTGTTTCCTCTGTGCACGAACGGTTTCGAGTTTTCCTTTTTTTTTCTGATCTAATGGCGCAGGACGATCAATCGGCGGCGAGATCTACCGGAAAGGTTAATTGGTTTAGCGATGGTAAAGGCTATGGTTTCATTACTCCCGATGATGGCGGGGAGGAGCTTTTCGTTCATCAGTCTTCAATCGTCTCCGATGGTTTCCGGAGCTTGACTGTTGGTGAATCGGTCGAATACGCTGTCACCCTGGGAAGCGACGGCAAGACTAAAGCCATCGATGTCACTGCTCCCGGCGGCGGATCTCTTAACAAGAAGGAGTTTAGCTCCCGCGGAAACGGCGGTGAGTGTTTCAGTTGCGGCGAAGTTGGCCATATGGCGAAGGATTGCGTTGGTGGTGCCGGCGGAAAAATCTTCGGTGGCGGAGGTCGCAGATCCGGCGGAGAAAATTCCTGCTACATGTGTGGCGGTGTGGGACACTTTGCTAGGGATTGCAGGCAGAACGCCGGTGGAAACAGTGGAGGCGGAGGTGGCGCTTGTTACAGTTGCGGAGAGGTTGGTCATATGGCAAAGGATTGTCGTGGTGTTTCCGGTGGAATCAGATACGGAGGCGGTGGCCGTGGATCTGGCGGCGAGGGATGCTACATGTGTGGCGATGTGGGGCATTTCGCTAGGGATTGTAGGCAAAACGCCGGTGGAAACGTCGGAGGTGGCGGCGGAAACACCTGCTATACCTGTGGCGGATTTGGCCACATGGCGAGAGTTTGCACAAGCAAGAGACCGTCTGGTGCTGGTGCTGGTGCTGGTGCTGGTGCTGCATGCTACGAATGTGGCGGGATTGGCCATTTGGCACGTGACTGTGACCGGAGAGGAGGTGGAGGAGGAAGCGGTAAGTGCTTCACCTGCGGCAAGGAAGGTCACTTTGCAAGGGAATGCTCTTCGCTTGCTTAACCAAAAAAAAGATGAAAATAAGAGTAATGTTCATAAACCTCTTTCGTCTTTGTATTAAACTCTCTGATCCTTTTGGTTTTTTTTGATGTTTTACTATGCAAAAGGTCCCTCCTTTTTGCTGACTATAATATGATAGCTAAGAGTCGTTTAAGATGATGTTTTTTGAATGTTTTCTTCATCTTTGATATCGTTCTTGTGACTGGTTCGTGCCCATAAGTTTGACACTTTGAATGTTATGTGTGATTGCTTTCTTCTTTCTTTGCAAATTGGTGTGATGTGATGAATTGAAGATCTAATCTGTTATGGTCATTCCCCTGTACAAAGGATTTGAGACTTGCTCATGCATTTCTATACTCTTAAGTAGAGATATCAGTCCCAGTTCTTGCTTGGTTCTTATGGTGAGATCTTGCAGTGCCTATGCTTTGTTCTTTGTCCATCTTTCTCAACTACAAGAGTAAAATGTAAAAACCCACTGTAACTTAACTACACTTGTGTATAGCACAATCCAGTAATTGTGTTGAATCTTCTCGACTAAATCACATGAATGACTTTTAAGTAGTTGACCAACCTCAACACCTACTTTATTTCCTTTTATACACAATCCTAAAATTTCCTTAATCCTGACAATACATGTCTCTTTCCTTATCAACGTCTCAAAACAAGAAGCGAAAAGACAAACACTTGAAACTTTTTCCTTTAACAAGATACAGAGTTTTTTCTAATCTTGAATTGGAAGAAAATGGAAATTCACCAAAATGAGAAAAAACAAAACTTTGTTGTAGTTTCTGTTTCAAAAGCTTTTAACGTGAACGTTGAAATAAAGGAAAAGATCAACGAGCATGTATGGGGGGTTTTAGCTCATATAGGACAAAAATTGATTTTTTTTGAAATTTTCCATTATAAGAATCTATCTAATAATCCCCAATTTTTTTGAAACTTTCCATTGTAAGAACCTATCTAATAATCCCCAAATTTGTATATAAACACTCTTTAACTTCTCCTTAATCATACCACTCTCATCGAAACAATTATCAAACCAATCATCAAACTTCCGGTGACTCCCTGCTCAAGAATGGGTTTAGCTAAAGCCTCTTCCTTTCTCCTTATACTTCTATATCTCATCAATGGCGGTTTCTCCACCACTTTCACTGTCGTTAACCAATGCAACTACACCGTGTGGCCTGGACTTCTTTCCGGCGCCGGCACAGCTCCGTTACCCACAACAGGTTTCTCCCTCGAATCGACTGAGTCACGACTCGTCTCCATACCCGCCTCTTGGTCCGGCCGTATATGGGCTCGAACGCTCTGCAACCAAAACGCCACCACCGGGAAATTCACTTGCGTCACCGGCGATTGCGGCTCATCCCAAATCGGATGCTCCGGCGCAGGAGCCATTCCTCCGGCTACACTCGCCGAGTTCACACTCAACGGAGACGAAAATCTAGATTTCTACGACGTCAGCCTCGTCGACGGTTACAACATCCCAATGGCGATCGTCCCTCACGGCGAAGCAACCGGAGTCGGTAACTGCAAAACCACGGGTTGCGCGGCGGACCTCAACGGTGTTTGTCCTGATCAGCTGAAAGTGACGGTTGACGCCGCGGCTGGAGTGGCTGTGGCGTGCAAGAGCGCTTGCGAGGCGTTTGGAACGCCGGAGTATTGCTGTAGCGGCGCGTTTGGAACGCCGGACAAGTGTAAGCCGAGTGAGTACTCTCGTTTCTTTAAAAAAGCTTGCCCCACGGCTTATAGTTACGCTTATGACGACGGCACAAGCACCTTCACTTGCTCCGGCGCCGATTACCTCATCACTTTCTGTCCTCCTCCTTCTCCAAGGTATATTTTTGTTACTCTACTATTTAAATTTACAAAAAAAGAAATTCGTAATTGTTAGTATTGAGAAATAACTGTTTTTTTTTTGAAAAACCTAACTATTTTTTTAAAGGTAATTAAAAAGGGTGGTCCCGCTCCCTAACAGAAAAGGAAAGAGTTTTGATTTGCATTCAATCCAAAAGTTAAAAAAAAGTTGTTTAGATTTTGTAACGGCCCTTGTATAATGTATATATATATTTGAAATGAATGATTTCTAAATTTTGTTTGCTATTTAATTGTTTGTTTCAGTATGGAGAGAGCATATAGGAGTCCCCAACCGCAGCCGTTCAGTCTGAATGATTTTATCGTTTCTGCAGCTTCTGTGGCCGCATCGTCTACATTCTCATTTGCGTTCTCATTAGGCGTTTTAGCTGTTGCGGTTTCTTTAGTTAGGACTTAGGAGTGGATATTTGATATCACCGCAGCGACTTTTAGTTTCTTTTTTTACTTATTTTATGTGATTGTTTATTGTTGCGATTCTAGATTTAGAAGAAGAAACATGAAAAAAGTTTTATTTCTCTTTCATAAATAACTTTATAATTCAAGGAAATCACAGGATACCAATAACACTAGTTACATGTAAGTGTAACAGATCTACAAAAAGTAAATAATCATTCATCTGATATAGCTACTGTTATAGTTAAGTGTTTCTATTTAGCAAAATTAAAATTTTTTTTGTTGAGAAAAGTGAAATGAAAGTTTTAACCAAGCATTGGTAGCTCGACTGGTAAAGGGATTCTAGGTAAAGTTTAGAGGTCACAAGATCGAGTAATGTTTGGGACGAAACCAATATTATATGTTGTTGTTTCGGGTCTAGGAAATTACGGATTTCGGCCCAAAACCTTTTAATAATTAAAAAAAGAAAAGATAAAAGTTTAAGAATGAAGACAAATGGACATTTTTTTATCAAATTTATTTCTCACGTTTTTACTCGCGTGTAATTTGTATCCATTCAATTCAACGAAACCTTTCAACAAAAAAACAAATAGTCTTTGAATAAAAATTTATAATTTAGTATTTACATGATATTAATTTTTTTTACTATAATAATCTTAAATATTTATTTGATGATGACCATTAGTCAAACAATTTCATCAAACATTCACTGTTCCACATAAATATATAATCATATTTTCCGTTTTGCAAAGTAATAAATACGAATCAATCGCGCATGGTTCGAGTTTTTGCTAAATGAAGAAGATGAAATCAATTGGGTCTGCAAAATATATATCTTTTTCTACATATATGGCCACTTCAATATACTAACACTATAAGTAGCAGGCTCATCTGGAAGAAAACGACAATACAGTATGTACAAATATTCATTAGTCCAACTCAAGACCATTTTCTAAAAAATGCATTAAAAAAAGTAATAACGTAATTTTGTTTTACTGTCACATCCACCACATAAACAAACATTTGTTTTCACCAAAAGATGTTCAAACGAAGCTGCTCATATATTAGCTACAAAGGGTCCTCAAAATTCTTTGTTTTATTCTAGTACTGTTCATCTTCCTCCTTATTTGACTCCATCTTTGTTTAAAGAGTATGTTGTATCACACGTTCATAGTTATTCAATTAAATTTGGTCGGAAAAAAAAACATTTGTACTTGGATTCTACTAATTCTTAAATTAATATAAACACTATTGACAAAAAAAAATTGTGTGGGTGAAAGAAAAACTTCAAATGCCTAAGCTTTTGGCTAAATTTAGAGAGATTCCATATGGTATTTGGCACTTTCTAACACACACACACAATGTATGTTGCTATTTGCTATTTGGCACTTTCTTATCTAGTAATAGCAATTAAAATAGGTTTAATTAAGTTGGTCTGTTTTAGTAATTGAATTGCATGAGCACTGACTACTTTCTATTCTAGTTTTTCTTTATTTTATGTGATTGTTTATTGTTGCGACACTACTAGATTTAGCAGAATAAACATGAAAGAGTTATTTTTTCTTTCATAAATAACTTTGTAATTGAAGGAAATCGCAGGATATCAATAAAGACTAATATGGGCAATGTTCATAACCGATTTTATAACTAATTAACAGATTTTATAGTAAAAAATGAAAAAGAATGTGTTTTCATTTATACTACTAATAGAAAGTCTTGTTTCGGAGTAAAATCAAAGTCAACTAGACCAATACAACAGGTAGTAAATCCAACGGCGGATATGCCACGTATACAAACCTCCGCCGCCAAAAAGAAACCAGAGGACTCGAATCCAACGGCGGTTATAACCGGATTCAACACGATTAAATGTGGACTAATAAAATGTTTAAAGTTTAAACTGATTCATCTTCAGTCTCTGCGAAAATCAATTCAACAACAAAATGGGTTTTACCCACTTTATAAGATCCTTTCTGCTTCTTTTCACTATTTCTCTTTATTTTCCTCGCACGCATTCATCAAGCTCACAAGAACCAGAAGTTATTACTATCGATGTGAGCCAAACCCTAAAACTTCTTCATCACGGCTACACATTTCTCGATGTCAGGTAAATTTTAGTATAACAATTTTTTCAGATTCAGACATGTCTTTATTGTTGTTAGATTTTGTCGGTAAGTTTTCTGAAATTAGTGAAGTACTGTGAAAACAGAACTGTTGAAGAATTCGAGAAAGGCCATGTTGATTCAGAGAAAGTCTTGAATGTTCCCTACTGGTTCTATACTCCACAAGGTCAAGAAAGTAACCCAAATTTCTTGAAACATGTTTCGTCTCTCTGTAACCAAACCGATCATCTCGTTGTGGTAATAACAAAGTCTTAACAGAGTCATCTTCCCTTTTTTTGTTTTTACTTAATTCACTTGATCTAAATCTAGAATCTGTTGTTTTTAATCTTCTTTTCAGGGATGTAAATCTGGAATTAGATCTTTATTTGCCACCAGAGATCTTGTTTCTTCTGTAAGTATCACAAGCTTTAAGCTCCCAAAAACAGAGGATCTTGGTCTCTCTGTAAATGATTTTTTCCCTTGAATTTAATGAGGTTTAATGGGATTTTCGATCATGTGACAGGGATTCAAGAGTGTAAGAAACATGGACGGTGGTTATATTGCTTGGATCGAGAAGAGATTCCCAGTTAAAGTGGAACAAAAGGAACTTAAGCACGATGAGCTCTGATTCAGATTATCCTAATATAATCATGTTAAATTAATCTCGATTATTTACTTCTAAACTCGTTAATTCCAATATTCAAGACCTTTTAAAAGCTAGATGCTCTTTTCTTGTTTCCGTCAAAGCAATTTTCAAGACAAAAAAAAAATGGACCGACATAGAGAGAAATTTGCCGGACGTCAAATCAAAATTAAATCAATAAACCGTGTAACAGCGCGGGAAAGATGTCGGTAAGGTTTAAGTTTTAACCGAACCGGTTTAGAACGGTACACGCGTTACTTACGCGCAACCTCCACGTCTTCAACATCTCTGACAGATAACTTCGCTTGGTCACTTTCTTCTCCAAATAAATATCTTTATTAATCAGAAGCCAAAATCTTCATTCTTCTTCATCATTCTTCATTCATTTCATCTTCCCCGATTTAAAATCTCCGGCGATAATGGAGTCTTACGGTAACCCTAACGAGAAGCAATCTTCGTCTCTTTACCCAACCGTTGACATGTCGAATCCCGAAGCTCCCCTGAACCCTAGTTCCTCCTCTTCGAATAGCAATCTATATCCTTCGCTCGATATGAATGATCTCGCCAGTAATCTCTTCCCTGAACAACCGGAGACGAGTTCTGTCCCGGTTTCGGCTCCTCCCGCAGCGAAGGAGGAAGTAATTTTGAAAATCTCCGGCGCGATTCTCCACCTAATCGACCAATCTTACAGCGTCGAGCTCGCCTGCGGAGATCTCGAGATCATCCGACTTATTCAGGACGGGAATATCGTCGCCGTTCTCGCTCGCGTCGCCGACGAGATCCAGTGGCCGTTGACCAAGGACGAGAACTCCGTCAAGGTCGATGAGTCCCATTACTTCTTCACCCTCCGTCCCACCAAGGATTTCGGAACTAATTTGAGCGACGAAGAAGACGGCGGAGCCAAAAAAACTAAGCGGAAGGAAGAAGAGAACGATATGTTGAACTACGGACTCACAATCGCTTCGAAAGGTCAAGAGCATTTGCTGGAGGAGCTTGAGCAGATCTTGGCGGATTACAGCTGTTTCACGGTGCAGCAAGTCTCCGAGGAAGCCAAGGAAACAGGTGAAAAGGTTTTGGATGTGACGGTGGCGAGAGAGACGTCTCCGGTTGAGCTTACAGGGGAGAGGAAAGAGATCGTGGAGAAGCAATGCGCGGCGTATTGGACGACTCTAGCTCCGAATGTTGAGGATTACAGCGGGAAGACGGCGAAGCTGATTGCAACTGGCTCCGGTCATCTGATCAAAGGGATTCTCTGGTGTGGAGATGTGACTATGGATCGGCTCATGTGGGGAAACGATTTCATGAAACGGAGGCTGAGTAAGGGGGAGAAGGAGAGAGATGTTCACCCTGACACCTTGAAACGAATCAAGAGGTATGTATCTATGAATGAGTAGTTTCTAAAAAAGGGAAGTCTTCCAACAAATTTGATGTTTTTGGTAAATCTGATTTCTACTTTGGAACATGTGATTTCTACTTTGGAACATGAGTCATGACTTGTATTGTTGATGACTGATTCCTTTTTGGTATGTGTATTGATAGTTACCTCTGGATTGTTTTGCTGCTTCTGTAGAGTGAAGAAAATGACAAAAATGACAGAGAATGTGGCAAACGGGATTCTGTCTGGAGTGATCAAAGTTTCAGGGTTCTTCACAAGTTCAGTGGCAAACACCAAAGTTGGAAAGAAGTTCTTCAGCCTTCTCCCTGGAGAAATCGTTCTTGCAACTCTTGACGGATTCAGTAAGTCACTCTATCTAACGTTATATATATATATATACACTTATCGCGGCTAGCTCTAGATTTTTGATAATCATTGGGAACTGTTTGAATCTTGTGTTGATAGATAAGGTCTGCGATGCTGCTGAAGTAGCTGGAAGGAACGTGATGTCAACCTCTTCCACTGTTGCAACCGAGCTTGTTGATCACAGGTGAGTATTAGGAATCTGAAACTTGGGTTTTAAGAGATGTAAGTGTTGAAGTTTTTGGTGTGTTTTGATGAATGTGCAGGCATGGTGGTAAAGCGGCTGAGGCGACAAACGAAGGGCTTGAGGCAGTGGGACATGTCTTTGGAACAGCATGGGCTGCTTTCAAGATCAGAAAGGCTATTAACCCAAAGAGCGTTCTCAAGCCTTCGACGCTTGCGAAATCCGCCATTAAATCTGCAGCTTCACAAAAGAAAGCCTAGTTTTAAAGTGTGTGGTTCATTTGATTTGATGCTGTTTGTGTTGTATTGTATTTTCGATACAGAGAAGTAAAACTGAAAAAAAAAAAAGGTTTTCGGAATTTAGTTGTCGGCAAGTGCTTGTTTGGTTTCTCTGAGAATCATGTGATGTAATGTAACGAGTTGTTACTAATACTGTATGTGGTTATAATTCGTATGTATTATTAAGGATGAAGAACAGGGTAAACTCTAAACCCTTTTCTAGCTGATTTGATTTCTTCCAGCGGCTATAAATACATAAGAAACCCACTGGGCCAATCGTGGGCTTCAGAATCTATTAATACAATTGTATTGGGTTTTTCGTTTTCTTCTTATTCAAATCAAAATTTGTTTTGGTTTTAAACATGTTTTTATTGTAATAATAAAAATAATAGACTGTAAAAACTGTGATTTTAAAATAATGACAGTAACTTTAAAAAAATCAAAAAATCAAAATCACATTTTTGTGTCTTTTAAAAAATCCATCGATTATGAAAGAAAAAAAGAAAAAAATAGCTGTGAGAATATTTAGGAGTAATTTTATCATTTTTAAGATTTTAAGGCTTCGATTGGTAAGGATTGTGACTAAAGATTGTGACGGTAGGCTGTGACTGTAAGCTTTTGGTTGTAGAGATTTTGACTTTAAAAATTGTGACTGTTACTTTAAATATTTTTTAAAGTCTGATTATTAATAAAAACTGTAGAAACTGTGACTGTTAATTTTTTAAAAAAAAAATTCAAATATGTGTACCCATATATTTATGGAGATGAAATATATTATAATGGTAAATTTGAAATATATTTTCATATATATCTAAAATATAAGTATATTGTTATTTTTCATATTAAAATTGAAATATTTTTATCATTTATTTCTAATTTTATTATGAAAATTTTAGCAAATATTATAAATTTTAAAGAAAATATTATTTTTAATTAATTATTAATAAACAAATTATTTTATCTAAATCGATAAATTAATAACTCTATAAATTAATAAAATATTAAAGTCTTAACATTATTTATTTATAGAGTTTATAGTGTCACTCTTGATAATTTAAATATTATATCACAGAAAATAATGAAAACTATAAAAATAAAAGCGTTACATAATATCATTATATATGACATTTTGGTAATAAAAATTTTAAGTAAAAATTCTACAGCCATTCTAAATTCTATCTTACGTGATTTTTAAAAAAGTAGAAGTTTGTGGAGTAAGAAATTAAAATTGGGCTGTGTAGACGGTAGAGAAAAAAAAGGAAGTAAAAGCATGATTGGCAAAAAATAGCTGTTAAAACTGTAAAAATCTCCACAGACTAATTGGAGTCTAAAACTATTAAAGTGTGATTGGATAAAATATGACTTTAAAGACTGTAATTATTTTTAAAGTTTTTACAGTTTTTAAAATTCTATTGCCAATCGAAGCCAGAATCGCATATATGCTGTTAAATGTTTTAGTTTCTACTTTCTAGATGCCGGAGTACACAAGTCCATAAGTAGTACCTAACGTTTTATTTGTACAATGATTATTTGATATTACAACTGTCGTCCAAATATGGAAATAACGAAATCTAAAAGCGTAAGATAATTAAAAACCAAACTAGTTATATGCAGAAAAACCTTTAATATATTCGTATCTGATTCAAGAAACCCTAAAGATTGACTCTGGTCTATTTGTAGAATCTGTTACGAAATTAAGAAAAAAATACATTAGAATGATTATATAGATACACTCGTATACGTAGGCCCACATGCATGAATAATGAAATAAAAATGTAGAACCAAAAGGGTAACGAAAGAGTGAGAGAAGATCGAATCAAATGCCCTATGAGTGTCAAAACCACCAATGGTTTTACTAAGTGCTTTGTAACCTTATCCTTTTATTATATTTATATTATATGATATAAAATTTAAGTCTTAAAACTAAGTGAATAATAAGAGATAATATATACATATGCTTACAGCATCTTCACTTTATTTTCTTGTCCGATTCTCTCGTGGGAATTTATTTCTAAACAAGTCGTAATCGAGCTACTGCTTTAACATGTTTATCAATTCTTTGTTATTTTATATTTTCAAAATAATGTTTCATTGACACCGATTACATATGTACGATTATCTTACTAGCTAGCAAAAATGTAGCTTTTGTATCAAGTTTGTGACCTAAGGTTATCTAAATCATTTTAATAACTATTTTAATGTAGCAAAAAAAACAACAACTATTATTATCAAGGAAATATAGTGAGTAAAAATGTTGGTGTTTATTTACGTGGACTCAATTAAAAAGACATATTACAATACACAGTATGATGGTAAATGATTAATACGACTGTTCTCAAACAAAATATTTATGCTCATTCCAAGGTTAATGTCTTACGTACGAGCTTATTTTGTTACAAAGCTTAAGGACCTTAAGAGTTAAGGCTGGACAATGAAAGTGGTTTTGGAGTTTGGACCTTAAGGTTTGTTTTACGGTAAGTAAAATCGCTTTTACGCTCGTTGAAACGGACCACAATGTTAGTTATGAGTTCAAACTTCAAACTTATTTTCCCCTAAAAGTAACACGTAAAGTTTTTTCAGTATAGAAGATTAAGAATGTGAAGCAAAAAATTATTTAGTAATTAAACAAGACCGGATGAATTATGTGATGCAAAAAATATTCAAGTTAAAGCTGTAAAAGAAATTAGTCAATTCAATGTTTAAACACTTACGTTCCATTGGTCCTCTTTTGTTCGAATCTACCACAAGTATTATTGCCAATAACACGTTTTCAGTGAATAGTCTATTCTTTTGGAATCCGATTTGCTTGGACGATTTTGCTTCGTTCAGGATATGTCGTCTATGCTTAATTACATCGCAATATCTTGGAGAATTATCTAAAACGTGTTAACAACATGAGATAGACCGTCTAAATTATAACAGTGTGTCTTTGAAATACTAGACATATGTATATGTTACATATATCTTTATCATTTGCAATATCAACTTAGTAGATTGTTTAGCACATAAATCATTCTAATACAGTAATACCTAACTAATATGCGCATTACTATTCAAAAGCTGTATATATCCCACAGGTTGATTATTTATGATCAACTTGACTTTTGTGGCTTTGTCTCCACAACCACTAAGGACCAAAGAGCACAAGATGTTAATCAAAAGACTATATAAAATCATATCTATACATATCCGTATGCGTGTGAAACTTTGAAGACTCAAAGGCTTACAAGTTTGCAATAACAATGCATGCACATTTCTTTTTTAAGCACACATCATTACCATTCACCTTAAGTCTTCTTAATTGCCCCTTTTGAGATTTTCTCTAGATTTTTCAAATCTTTTTCTTTGGATTGTGATCTCATTTGTTATTTGATTTGATGCTAAAGCTAGATTTGAAGCTTGCTTTAAACACAAATAAAACACACGAAAATTCAAAAGAGAAATATCAGATTATATGTAAAAATCATATATTTGTTTTTGTCATCTAAATAAGTTAATTATATAATTACTATTCGGGTGATATTTGAATCTACTGTGTACGATTTCGAAGTACGTTTTTAATACTAAAATTGATGAGATATATCTTGTTTTAAACACAAATAAAACACACGAAAATTCAAAGAGAAATATCAGATTATATGTAAAAATCATACATTTGTTTTTGTCATCTAAATAAGTTAATTATTAATTACTATTCGGGTGATATTTGAATCTACTGCATACGATTTTGAAGTACGTTTTTAATACTAAAAATGATGAGATATATTTTATCCAAATACAGACAACTAAAATGTACATTCTTGTTCGTGATTTTCATAGTGCACGTTAACTTATAAGACAAATTGTTTAAAGATCGATATATCGGTATCAAAGTTTTTTTTTTGTATAACAGAAATATATATTCCACTGGATTTAAGAGAAATCATTCAATACCTTGCAAATTTGAAATTGGGGATTTTGAGAAGAGTTAGCCAATTTAGATAAGGGTAATAGACAGATTAATTTCAATCAAACAAATAGAAAAACCAAAAATCGCAAATGATAATACCTTTTGTTACTTTTTTACCAAATATCACGGGTCGTTATTTATCACCGACTATATGCTTTATAGATTTGTTACTTGATCCTGAAGCTCCAAATTACTACTTAGTCAAAATTAATTATCACCGTGATATGATGACAAATATTGTCTTTTTTTTTCCCTAACAACGACAGTTTGCGTTTATTCTCGTTAGCCGTTTACAGTTTAAACTTAAGCAAATCTTTTATACTACTGTATTAATTATACAGTCTGTATATCATTTTTAGTTAATAGAAATATTTCATTGATTAAAATCATGAATAATCGAACCTAAATAAAATCAAACCGATCTAAATAGAATTAAACTGAACCGAAATAACTCTAGTTTGAGTTCAGCGAGTTCTAGTAAAGTGTAAAACCGAATTAAGTGAACGTCAATAAACAAGTATAGTATAGCCTATGTTGCACGGAAACGGAAACGGATACGTGGAAGCGGAACGTTTCGAAACATGGAAACGCTATTTTTAAAAAATATAGAAATGGAAACGTTTTGGAAATATATATATATATATATTAAGTATTAAAGATCTAATTATAAGTAGAATATTTAATCAACAAAATCTAATATATAATTTTTACATAATTATTAAACTATAAAATTTAAAATATATAAAGTCAAAAATTTAGAAGATTTTCTTTATTATCAATTTTATTAGTTTCATTAACCAATCTATCTCTAATTCTAATTCATCCAGAGAATAATTTTCAAACTTAGTAATCTCAAAACTAATCTTAATTACCAAATCAAAATATTTATTATTTACTATAAATAAGTAAATTGATTATTTAATTTAATTTTTATAATTATTTATTTGTTCTATAAAAACAAGAAATTAGTTTTTATCTTCTTTTCAAAATAAAAACGCGTGTTTCTAAAATAGAAACGCGTTTCCAAAGTGTT